ACATACAATTAGAAACAAAATGAAAAACATTAAGCCCATTCTTTCCTGTGATGCTGCTTGGCCTGCTGTGTTCATCCAGCTCTACACCTTGTTACCTGAGGTTATAAAAACCTTCAGTTTTCAATTCTAACATTCTAGTGCAAAGTAGCCAACATTTGACCTCCAGATATGGTGAATAAAATCTCAGCAATCGTCTTTTTGAAAGAAAAGTTAAGAAAGCATATCATAAAAGGGAAGATCTACTATAAGAGATCATGTGCCTATGCAAAAAAAAAGGTACAAGGTACTTAGCTCTACATGGAATGTATACTGATATGCTTTGTTTAAACTACACTGCATTTAACTATTTTAGGGCAATAGAATCAGCTTGTCGTACAAGATCCACACCAAAAGGCATAAAGGTGCAACTAGAAAGAAGCTATTCAGTCCAACCAGTCTCTTACCAGCTCTTTCTTGCCACAAGAAAAGCACAGTTAATTTTTACACACCCTGGCTACAAAACTTGGATCTATCTGGCAAAATGGAAAGTATGTTCTGTCCACAAGAAGAACCAATCCAACTCGACTAATTACTGCTCGTCAGCTTACCCTTCATTGACTGTTATCAGGTGGCATTTGCTCAGCAATAATCTGCCATCTAACACACAGTTTTGTTTTTGCCAGGGCCATTTGGATCCCATTGCAGACTTGCTTCACACTTGGACAAAAGAGCTAAAATCCAAAGATGGGGTGAGGGTGACTGCTGTTGCCATTAAACAGCATTTCACAAAGGGATCACGCGGTCAAAATCCTGGAACTTCCTAACAGCACTGGGGATGTATCAGCCATATCCCCCGCACAACCACATTAACTTCTCAAGAGCAATTAGGGCTGAAAAATAAATATGACATAGCCGGCTATGCACATATCTTGTGGAAGAACAAAAGGGAATATCCTTTCCTCCAATTTTCAACCTAATCTTGAACAGTGGCTAGAGTCTAGATCTGAATTTCACAACTCCATAACTCTCTACAAAGGCTTTCCCAGTTGGTGACGTCTCACATTTAATTTTGTTCCTATGACAGGTTATTGAAAACTTCAATTGCTTCTATCCAATTTCAATCACATTTAAACACTATTATAATACATTATAATCTCAAATCAAAACAGAAAATGCTGGAAATATTCAACAGTTTGTTTAGAATATGGGTGATAACTCCCTGTAGAGGTGCAAGTTTGTACGCTAAGTAGAGAAAGGAAGATCTACAACCAATGTGCATTCAGCAAGCTCCCACAAACAACAACAAAATAAATGGTCATATCATGTTTTAGATCTTGATTAGGGATAAATATTGACCAGAATACTAGGAAATGGCCTCCGCCCTTATTCTAAACATGTTATGGGAACTTTTATGCCCTCCCAAGACAGCAGATTGGGGCTCAATGTAACATTTCATCCTATAAAGACAGGACCTTGGACACTGTAGTCTCCTTCAATAATGCACATAAGTTCTAGTCTAAGATTATGTGCTGAAAACTCTGGAAGCATTCTTTGAAACCTCAATCCATGATTTAGTGGAGCAAGTACTGCCACTGAGCTACACACTAAGGTTTTACAATACAGCCACCAACAGCAATGCATACACATAATGGAAACTCTGCATTTCACGGTGATATATACATGTTTGGGTTTATCAAAAAACCACTAGCAACAAGCACTATGATTTTGCAGTAAAGCCAATATGAACTCTTGCACACAAGGTTATTCAGTATATCCATCTCTAACATACATGCTGTGTATAGTTGTACTGATATTAAAACTGTAGTTAATTGTAACAAAAATACATATGGCTGCAAATAAAAGATTTGGAACACACCTGGAAGAAACCAAAAAAATTTTTAAGAAGTATATAGCGATTCTTATAAAAGTTACTTGTTTCATTAGCTGGAATGGAAGCAATATCAATCTTGTGTTTTCCAGTTTATTGAGAACATATTGCCACAATCAATTCCTCAAAAACATGCCTGGTCAAGATGAGCATCACTATGCAAAAATAAATCATAAAATTATCCACATTACAAAAGATTATATTAGGTAATAATGATGTTACAGATTTGTATAAACAATGACAATAAAGCAAGGGCTAAGATTCTTTCCTTGCACCTCAAATAAAATCCTTTAGAAGATTTTTACAGTTACAATACAAATCAATCTATCATATTGTAAAGTTTAGTGAATGGTTGAGATGTATTCACGTACCATTAGTAGAATTGAAAGTTATGTTTTAACTGCCAAGAAGAGAGGGCTAGTGGCTAACTTTAGGCACTTTGTCCAACCCCTGGCAATGTTTGAATCCCCTGGCATGCACATTATGTTCAGTATTGCTTTAATTACTAATATGGCTCGGCAGAGCAGGTTGTTAATCCTTTGATAATAGCACTGTACATAAATGTACATAATTGCATACATCTGTTGGTTACTGGAGACAGAAGTGTTCCAGAGGATCAGAACAAAGACAGCGTGCAAGCACTGCACTGGGTGTTTTATCCACCCAATACCCATAATTTCAGTAAACTGTGCTGAAGCAAATATCTAATTGACAACCAGTGATTCCAGGACACTGGTCTCTTCTCACTCAAGAACACATTCTAAATGCATTCCTAATGTTTTTTAACATAACAGAAAATCAAAGTGTTCTGACTTTGAACACTAATCTGAATATCTCTCTTCTGGAATGAATTATTATTCTCAATAACAAGAAAACTTCAATACAACATATGTTCAGTCCCAAATAAGTAAATTAAGCCTATTTCACCCTTCACAACTCGCTCAATTTCAACCATCTCCAAGCATTCTATCACTATATATCTGAAAGAATGGTCCCAACTATTTCTAATCACACCCCACCCCAATAAAAATGATTTCCTTAAATTCCAACCTCCAGAAATACATCAGCTCTTTGAAGGACGCAGAGGTCACTTAGAAGTCATCAAGATATACTTACTGCTACGAAGGTAAATTTGCAAATTTCTCAAACCTAGGTTGATAATGGGCACTGTTAGTAATTCATCCAAACCCAACAGATTTTCCAATTAGAAATGTTCAGCGCTCAGAGTTAATGTAAACATAAATCACGTTAACAGACTGTAATCTAAAATTTCCTGCACATAGTAAATCCAAGCTCACTCACAAATCAGCCATTATGAAAATACAATCACAAAAGCTTAGAAAAACAAAACAAGTGGATTTCCTGAGAATTGGGAACTGATGCTGGTTACATTCAGATTCTACTAGCACATTCCAATGAATATAAAAGCAAAATAGCCTCATCAACAGGCTAAACTTACAGCAAAGTGAGGTGCACAATACCCCAGGAACAGGATAACTATATAGCAGAATGTGGAGTGCAGTACTTCGGGGACAGGCTAACTTTACAGCAGTGAGGTACACAATACCTCAGGTACAGGCTAAATGTACAGAGGGGCAAGGTTATAAGACCTCGCTGACAGGCTAACTTTACAGCAGGGTGAGATATGTAATACCTCAGGAACAGGCTAACTTTACAGTACAGTGACGTGTACAATACCTCAAGGACAGGCTAACTTTACAGCACAGTGAGGTGTACAATACCTCAGGGACAGGCTAACTTTACAGCACAGTGAGGCATACAATACCTCAGGGATAGACGAACTTTACAGCACAGTGAGGTGAACTAGGCGAACTATGCAGTAGGGTGGAATGTGTAACATCTCAGGAGAAGGCTAACTTTACAGCATAGTGAGGTGATCAGTACCTCAAAGACAGGCTAATTTAGACAGCACGGTGTGGTGAACAATACGTTAATGGCAATTAACCTTACAGCATGACAAGGAGGGAAATACTTCACAGGCTAAGCTTACAGCAGTATTTCTATCAGCAGCACACTGCTACTTATTAGGAATTTGTTGGACAGTTCCAGCCTTGAATTGGGGTTGAGGGAAGAGTTGCTATGACCAGACCAGAAGCAGTTTAGCTTACATCAAGGCAGAGTACAGCAATTAAGGACAGAGTTTGTTTTTACATTACGAAGGTGTGGACGATTCTTCAGGACAAGAATACTTTTCAGCCATGGGATGAGCAAAGATGGCTTCTAACATTAAAATAAGGTTGTGCTTGAGGTATAGGTAGTGGAAGAAGAAAGACAGGAGAGACTGAAAGGAGATAGATTCTTTCCAAGAGGGAAATATAATGCTCTATGTTAGGATCAGATTTATTTGGAGGAAAAATGTTCAAGACAAAATTTAGCAAACTAACACCCTGATATTATTTTTACACAAAGTGCTCACTTGTGGCAAAATGATCTGGATGTTGTGGTTTAAACCGGATGCATAATTTCATGAAAACATAATCAATTCCTATTGCGCTTTGGAGTGATTACCCTTGGTATCCTTCGTGAAATTTGGGGACCTATTCTGTTTTCATGTCAGAATCAACTGGATCACCATGGTTATAACATACAACATCAGCAGCTTGTCTGTACTCAGGTCACAGACTCTTGAGCGCAACAGCACTGCTCAAAAACAAACATGCCCCAAACTTCTTCATGATATAGTTTTTTTTACCCTTACAAGGCATCTTAGCTTATAATACCAAATAAGATTTACATTGACAAAAAACAGCAATATTTTGAACACAGAATAGCATCCTAGTTACAATATAATTATTTAAATCTCAACATTTAGTACTGTACATTTTTTTTGCTTTGTTCAAAGAACTAAACTCACCCTATCTTGTACCCAACAGACAAAGTCAAAATTACGAGCTTAAAAATTGGCATAATTAAGCATACAAGAAAAAAAATTCAAGTAACACTATTGTTTTATAAATTAGCCCCAAGTATAAAAACAGTGATTTCCTATTTCTGAGTGAAAATTGACAGTTATTTATGGCTTTAAGAGTTCAAAACCAAGATCACTATTGCTGAAGGATTCAAATATTGTAATTTCATGAAGCAAAACTTTTTTCCAGATCTAAAATAAAAACTGCCAAAATTCTCAATGTAGTATGTATTATAAGGAAGAACTTTTCTAACAAAACACTGACCAGCAGTGCTAATACAGCCAAGGTATCCAAATGACACTTATGGATTCGAGGCTAGATGCCTGTACCAAAAATAATAAAAGGTTGGTGTTTCAGTGTAATTCTACAACTAGATGTAACCAGCAACATTCAATACTACACCAGTTGCTAAGCACAATAAAGTAGTCACGTTTAGAGTGGCAATTCACCAATTCTTTCTGCACTTTTACATTTCTATATGAGGCATTGAAGCCTGAACGGTCTCCTTGATTCAACAGTGCTAGCCACTTCAAAATTCCCTTAAAGGAATAAGATAAATCCTTGGCAGGAGATTCCCAAGTTAGTAATTAGTTCATAATCTATGTTAGCATGCTGTTTGAGAGCTTATTTAAACTTTGGGTGTTTAGAACCAACCCAGACAACCACAAGTTGGCAAATGGCGTCAGAAACTTTGATCAAATTGCAAGATTACATTGCAAGATTTAATTCATGAAATTATGATAATTTTGTTAGTGCTGCAAAGTCTATACATAAACTAAACACCCAATGAATGTTATTAAGATTGCTTTAAAATATATACTTCAGTCAAAAACTGAAGCAGCACCGGTAAGCCCAATGAAGAAACAAGGCTCTTGCAATGCAGTTGGTGCTCAAAGCATTGACTCGGTGCATAGTAGTCAGTCTTTTCACTTTGTAGCTTTCAACATTTCCTTTGTCTGACATCATTACTGTTATATTTGCTTTTTATAAAGAGACTTGTACTCCCATTGCCCATTTTTCTTTTTTCACTCATGCTTTCCTGCTTTTGCAGTCTTGTTTCCTTCCATCGCAATGTGATGTTCCTGTTAGGGGGAAAAAGAACTATGTTAAAACTACTATATAGGCAATGACGTTTAAAAACTGTGACAACTTAAAAACAGTTTCAGCTCTTTCTAGTCCAGAACCTCTACTACAAAGATCAGGCTACAACTCATTAAACCTCCCAAAATCACGCTACAAACCACCTCAGCTACTTCAAATTTCTTAAGTTTTCACACATCAAACTTTTTTTGTTATGATAAGACCACCAAGGTATGCAACACAATTGTTTTTTTCATCTGTTGGCCATCTCTCTTGGAATAAAGATGCATACTTGGCTATTTTAGAGGATGGTTAGAAGTGAAGCAAATTGCTGTGAAGGACCTTAGAGAACAGATTTTTAATGACAGATATTGTCAATTGCCATAAGACTAAATTTATATTCCAGATTTACAAATTGGATTTTAAATTACACCAGCTGCCATGGTGGGATTAAAACTCCTGTCCACTCAACGTTAGCCTGGCCCTCAGTCACAGACCATACCAATGATCGACCACCTATTTAAATGGGAATTGCATTTTAATTGCATTGTATTCAGCTTCAGTGTTACAGTACAAATCTGATAACAGCACAAAGTCAGCTACATATGCAGAGCATCAAAAGAAGGTATGCAATTGTGTATGTTAGGTATTAAAACATTCCGTATTTGTTTCTGAATTAGAACAATTCTTATTAAAATACAACTATTTAAAATTTACCTATTTTAGTCGGGCTGCTAGGGCCCCCAGTTTGGAAGGGAAATGCTTCCTCTTAGTAAATTCAAAGATTGAGGGGTGACCTTATAGATGTTTATAAAATCATGAGGGGCCTATATAAGACAAATGACAAGGGTCTTTTCCCTAGGGTGGGGGAGTTCAAAACTAGGGGGTGTATTTTTAAGGTGAGTGGAGAAAGACTTAAAAAGAACATGAGGGGAAACTTTTTTTTAAACACAGAGGGTGGTTCATGTGTGGAATGAACTGCCAGAGAAAGTAGTGGATGCAGGTACAGTTACAACATTTAAAAGACATTTTGATAAGTTCATAAAAAGGAAAGTTTTGGAGGGATATGGGCCAAGCACAGGCAAGTGGGACTAGTTTAGTTTGGGAACATAGTTGGCATGGACTAGTTGGACCGAAGGGTCTGTTTCATGCTGTTTGACTCTATGACTCCTAACTATGAATCATATTCACTGTCAATTGACTCTGAGCCAGAATTGACTGACACAACTGTATAATCATTCCCCATGGAGGAAGAAGAGCATGAAGCTGATTCCAAGGAACTGCAACCTTTAAAGATATAGATGTGACAAGCCATACCAGCACAGCAGCACTAATGGTACCATTTCCCTCCAGTAAAAGTTTTCCATTTACTTCCAACTAGACTGAATACTATCAGTAAATAAATTTACACAACATAGAAACAGATTAACATATCCACAGATATGAAAGCTTCTACAAAGCTTTCTTTATTTAATCTTATTAGCATATTATTCTCCTATTTCCACCCTCATGTCCAAGGTGCCTTCTGTGGTTTAGTCATTAAAATTACCTTGAGACAGACTGATTTCAGCTTAAAAAGCTGTGTGAAATCAGAATGGAAGTGACTACTACATGGGGGGACGGAAATATCAAATTTTCTTTTAAAAATGCATCGTGGGGGAGTGGCCAGATGGACATTTGTTGCCATCCCTTGTTGCTCTCTGATGTTAGTGATGCACCTTCTAGTGGCTTTATGTGCGCTCAAAACTGAAGGACAGTTAGGAATGAATCATGTCACTTGGAAATAGAGTTTCATATGGGTCCAGACACAATAGCATGTTTCTTCCCCTGAAGAATGTTAGTAAGCGGTTGGGTTTTTCCAGCAATAAGACAGCTTTTGGTTAGTTTTTATTTACAGATTGTTCCTTAATCTGCTTCTTGCAGAACACTCCTTAATAGTCCCCTTGCTGTAAGAAGATATTTGTGAAAGCTACTAAGTAGATAGAGTTTTATCCTTCCACAGTTGAATGGGGAGTTTTGAGTATTCATATCCAACGCTTGTCTCCCCCATCAAAGAATCTATCATGACTGCATACTAGAAACTTAATGGGATGAATGCCTCCTAGCATATTCAGGTCATGTGATCTTAAACTCTACCCCAGGACCTTTTCCAATTACAGTCTTAACTGTTTGTCATGCAAGGATTCAGGGCTAATGTTGGCTATTTCAGACTACAATTCATTTTCATTCTAGTGAGTCTTGTGTGGCATTGACTATGGCAGTTGAATGATTCTGCACAAAGGCAAGAGTATCACGCAATGTTATATACAATGTCCTATGTTGCTGCCAAAGCAGAACACTTATGTTAAAGTCACAAAGTCTAATTGTTAAGTCCACATGGGCTCAGTTCAAGAATTTATTGTTTTGTTAGCAAATTTTGCAGACTGGAAAGCACTTGCACAGTTCTGACTCCAGGTAAATGATTAGCTTCTTCTTAAAAAAAGTTTGCAATCATAACAAAAGTTTAATTTATGAAGTGTGCTTACCGTGCAATATTAACCTCAGTCAGTGAGGTACCTTACTTCAACAATGCAATGAATATCCTGGGATTGGTGAGCCAAAGAAATACACAAAATGTAGATCATCGAGAGAACACAAAGGTTACTGCCAGTGCAAAGTCAGTTACCCTCATCATGCAAGCTCTCCTGAAGGTCTTTCTTCTACAAAAGATCAGTAGGTAACTGGCCTGATGGGCATTTACAGATCTGCTTAAAAATGTCATTGGAATCAACCCAATCTGGCCACCAAAGTGAGAACTCCAAAAATCATTCCTGCATAAAGTTCCCTTGAGTGCTACATAGAGCACACTGCAATATAAAGCACACTGCTGTTCTGGCGTAGAATTTCATGGAAATATTTTCTGCACTACTACACCCAAGAAATCTGAATATACTTTCAAGCAATCACATATACTGGAGTTTCTAACACAATAAACATCACTTCAAACTGTTGAGTGGAATAGTACCTCCAAAATGGTTAAGAGTCAATTAACTCTGGAGACTAAAAACTTGAATAGAAGGCAACTCTATCAATTACATTTGTAATACAAACAAGCAGTTTTCACTTATGCCTCATGATGAAGAGTAAAAGTTCTTACTCCCCCATCAAATAAGTGAAGTGAAACATCACTAACTCAGCCCATGTTCACAGACAAATAGAAACAAAATGGAAAAGAATTCACTTAGAATCTTAAACTAACCTGAACCAAAAACATACTGGCAACACAACACAGAAAACGCCCTCATACTGAGTTTCATTTGATCTATTTTGGTCATGTTGCAGTAGAACAAACACAAATCAAAAATGAAAGTTTCATAAAACCCCCTTTTATCAAAGTCCTTTGTGATTGAATTCAACATTTGAAAATAGATTGAAAAGGAGGAAGAACAAAGCACAATCTTGCCTACCATCAGTCAGCTGTTTGGTTTACTTTACAGCAGAGGCTATATTTCAAAACTATTAGCTGTAGAAGCACTATGAGACATCTAATGGTTGTGGCAAGCCTGTCCTGAAATTCAAGTCTTTTTCCCATCTGACATAGCTGACTGTAACTTGCTGTTTATGGAGTAAAACCAAAGAAGAAATTGCAGGCTGGATTGAATCCGATGTCATTTTAAAAACTGTCACATTGCCAAGTGTGATGTAGAGGTGCCGGTGCTAGACTGGGATGGACAAGTAATTGCCAAGTAATGAGAAGTAAATATTAGCAACTACCAACTTCAAATATACATGAAAACTGCACTAGTAGATGAGGGAAAATGCTAAAATTCTTACTTCTGTGACTGCCAAAGAACAAAAATTACCCAGAAAGTGATGGTCTTTTACAAAAGTAAAAAATTCCTGAATACATTGCATTGAAGAATTCTTTTTCATTTAACAGATGAGAATCCACATACTTGCAAACCTACCAGTTATTTTACAGGTACATCTTCTACCCCATTAACTGAAATATATGGCTACAAAGAGGCAGCTCACTTGAAGTTATGAATAGGGGTCAGGGAAGAGGAGATATCAGTTTATCAGATGTCCTCTACATAGCCCCTAGATTATGTATGAGTATTCTCCAACTCAAATCTCATTCAAATCTGGATTTTACTCCAGATTTCTAAAGTTCACATCTGAACAGTAAGGGTAAAGATGTCACTACATTTATGAAAATGAAAATGTAACAACATTCGATATAATGTCATAAGACATGCACTGCTACATCTATAACACAACAGATGGAAATCGATAGAGACTGAGCACACAGTTCCGTGCAAATTTCCTTCAATAAGGAATACAAAAAAATGAATATTTTGGTTGGGGGTGGGTGGTGGAATATTTCATGTGGGGGGAAGGAAAGATGAAGTGAAAGGAGAAAAGAGCTGAAATAAGAAAGGTCAGACAACCTACCTGACTGAATGTGCACATCTCACTAAAAACAGGGGAAAAAGAATCAATCAAATGGAGCTAAACCCAGGTTGCACAGTAAACGAGGCACAACACCATGGTCTCATGCAAGAGAGCAAACAATCAGCAAAATGATTCAGATCATTAGCTTTCAAAATAGTTTGCAAGTTTCCATGCATCAAAGAGACTGCAGCGCAAGGTGGGGCTCCATTTACACTGTTCAACTCAGAAGATTAAGTTGTTTGCAGCAGGTAAATTTATTCTTTACTTACTGGGCACAATATAAATCTGTTTGAAACACTTCACATATTTTGAGATAACACCATACTCAAACTTCAATCAGAAATATTTAGAAGAATGAAAGAATATATTCAAGAGACTGATCATACCACATTGCACCACAGTTAGGAAGACACTCGGTGACACAGCAACGACGTGACAAACAGCAGTTACAAAGGAAACATTTTAACAGCATAAATAAAGACTGACTGTCTTAATTGGCATTAGCTATAGACTAAATTTAAGTTTTGACTAGCCAAAGGTCACTGGTCTGCTATTTACTTATAACTTT